AGTCATGGAAGTGCAAAAAATTATGCATTTAGCATTGTAGCGTTGGTTGAGCACTACAATTGTGAGAGAAATCAAGTTGATAGAGATCCAACATTGTAGTGCTAAGTTGAGCACTATAACCCTAGGAGGAACTGTTTTAGTAGAGATCTAGAGTTGGAGCACTAAATTGAGCACTACAACCCTGGAAAGAAATGAAGTTGGTATAAATCTAACATTCGAGCGCTGAATTTAGCACTGTAGTGTCGAAGGTAGATGATCAAATTTGGTCTTTATGTTTTCATGAAAGTTGTAACCTTTGATGTTAGCTTTTCAATGGCGTTGGAATCACCCGAAAAGGAGGACTAGAATTCTAGTTATGACCTTTTTAGTGAGCAAAAATTAAATTGTCAACATTTATGTAAATTGTTGCAGTTTTTATAAATTTTAACATGGTAGATGATGCAATTAAGACTTGAGTTCTTCATGAAAATTATAGAAAATCTTTTTATCTTTCATATGAGATAATGATGAGCATGATAGGAGTAGTAGAAATTCCTATGTGTTATTTTATGTGAAGGTTTCCATTTCACAATAAGCAGTTTTGTTAAGTTGTAAGTTGTTTTAGTTGCTTAAGTTGATTTATCATGTTGTTTTCTTAAGACGTGAGTGTTGTAAGGTTCTAAAGACATATGTTGTTCATGTTGTGTAAGTTGACATGATGTAAAGTTGAAAATTGAGTTAAGCAATATGATGTGAAGTTGTATAGCTATGTTAGGATTTTATATTAACAATGTTGATGTGTTATTGAGATGCATGTTGATCATAGTGATGTAAATGAGTTGTGATAATGGTGACATGAGTTGAAAAGTTGTGTGTTGATTGAGTTGTTATGTTGAAAATCATATTGAGCTACTGTGTTGTTGAGTTGTGTTGTTGATCTGTGTTATTGAGTTGTGTTGTTAATTTGTGTTAATCATTTAGGACTAGAGAAAATATTTTTGAAAGTTGTATATCCCACTGTGTAAATATTGTGTCGTGGTGCTGTAAGAGCCCAATTTGTTGAAAAATCCTTCTTAAGAAGTTGACCCTTTAAGTGAATATTGTGTTGGTTCTACACTAAGACTTTGTTAGTACCGTGTGTGGGCAAGGTCGAGGCGCACGTGTATGGAGCAACCACAGTATAGGGGTCAGGCCAAAATATACAGATTACAAGTGACCAATCGAGTAAAGTATGAAGTTAGAAACTTAGTTCCTAACTGAGTATCGAAAGGTTGTAGTATTTGGAGGATAATCGGTGGGTTAATCTTATAGGAGACTTAGTTAAGCTAACTAATGTCATGGTATGCATGTACCTAACTATTTTATTATAACATTAGTACTATATTTTCTTATTTAAGTTGTAACATCTAAGAAACCAAATTGTTGTGTTGTGGATTTATATTCAATTTGTTATTGATCTAGCAAGTTTGAAAAAATCACTTTGTGTTGTCGATTCAACAGGATAAAACTACATAAATTGCTCACCTTGTGGTGTAGAAAATCTCATAGTTAAAATGTGTGACGACACATATAGTTGCTATGTTGAACATATGATGTGTTGAGATAATTGCGTTGTTCATATGTTGTGTTGAACTATGATGAAATGTACTGTTGTGTTGATTCAAAGTTGGCTTATGTTGATTTATGTTGTATGTTGTGATGCTTTGTTGTCAAAGATAAGATGATGATGTGATATTTCTAGGTTGTGTGTATATATATATGTTATTTTTTTTCCTAGCTCACCCTTGTGTGTTTTCCTGTGGTTTGGACTGCAGTGATCATACGTGGTATGAGAACAAGGTAAGGATATGGCTGGAGTGTTGTAGCGGAGGCCATACAGTGGCATAGGAGCTTGATGGTTTTGTTACCTATCTGTTGTTGGTAGATATGCATAGATAGTTATAGTTGCTTGACTGACAACTTAGTTATACATTTACATATGCAGGATTACTGTAAATATATTGCACATATTAGAGTAGTTGTTTCATCCTTATATGCATGCAATATTGTACCTATTTTAGTTTTTTGTAAATATATGATCTTAAATTAATAATTGTGTCATTTAGTGTAAGGACTACAACGCATCATTAATGGAGAAGTCAAATTTATAGTGACACAAAATTTGTCACTAAAAATTATTTTTGCTTATAATTATTAAAGTGTAGATATGAATTATAGTAACACAAAATATGTGTTGTTAAATTTCATTTAAATTTTATATTAAAATTATATATATATATATATATATATATATATCAAATAAATATATACCTACATATATTATATTTACAATGACACTTTTATGTATCATTACATGTAACAATTTTTCTTTTTTGTAGTGACATTTGATTTATGTATAGTATTATGTCAAATAATATTTTCATATGATGTGTCAATTAAACAAATAATTTTGTCTCCAAAAATAAATTATATAATATTATTCAAAGAACACATTTTATGAACCATTTTATTAATTTTTTCTATAAAAAGTAATTTATAAATTACATTTTAAAGGTAATTAATATAAAAAATATTTATGATTTTATTTTATTTTCATATGAAAGGCAATTAATACATTAATACGATTGAATTGAAAATTTAGAAATGCTTTTAGAACATGTAAGTAGGTTTTGATTTTGGTACTTATAAAAAATATTTTTCATTTATTTTAAAATTGAAACTATTATGTTTATCCTATTATTATGTGATAATTTTTAATTATTCGTCTGTTTTTTTAGAAGATTAAGTGATTATCTAAAGTACTATCCACAATTGTAATGATAAAATGTGTGATACTAGGTTTTTTTTTATATAAATTTTTAAAATAAATATTATTTATCTATCTTAAAATATCAATAAAGATAAAAATTTTAAATTTAAATTTTATATAAATTAATTTCAAAGAAAATATTTTCTAATGACAACTTAAAGTATTTTACAAATTTTATAATAATAAAAGTCAAAGAAAAATTACAGAAAGTAAAACTAAAACTTTTCACTTTACATGAAAATAATATATTTGAACCTAATAATTATATGTAAATATTCACAAAAGATCTTATTATATTGGAAATTAATAAAATAAAATATTTATGATTTTTTTCCCATTTTCATATTTAAGACATTTAATACATTGGACGTTATTCTTAAATTGAAGGAAATAAATAGAGTAAGGTCCAATAATCGTGGTGTGATGACAGAGCAATGGAAGTAAATGAAAAAACCACGTAATTTGATTAAAATTGATTATTTTGTTAAACTTCATATAAAACATTTATACTAATTATTAATATTTAATGAAAAAATTATTTAAAAATAATGTTGGATAATTTTGAAATACAAGTAATTTAATTAATAATTTTTTTTTTCTGAAAAGTTAATGTTATGAAGATTTTAAAAATACAACTAATTTAAAATTTTCACAAAAAGAATACAAAATACTAATTCAAAACATATTTTTCTCTAAGTTCACGTAAAAAAATTAGAAACAATTCATTTTAGTTTTTCATTCCTTTTTTTGTCATATGAATAAAAGGAAGAAACACATAAATTTAAACTTTTGTATCAAGAGATATAAGATAGAAAAGTATTTTGTAAGTGAAATCGGCGGTATTTATTTATTTATTTATTTATTTTTATGACCTAGCAAGTGACATTTGATTATCTACTAGATTTGATTATTATTTTTCTAGTAATTTTTTAAATAAAAAATAAATAATTTTTTTGATGGTTGTGTAAATCTAAATAAAAAATGACATTTGTCATTGATGATTCGTTTTTCTTTTTCAAACTAGATTTAAAAAAAAAAAAAAAAAACTGAACCAGTCCAATCTATTATAAGTAGATAAAACTGAAATATATTAACATCATCAATGAAATGAAAAAAATAACAATGAAATGTAACTAATTTTTCAAATATGAAAATCGTCTAGAATACATATTTCATTCTGGGAACAATTTAAGGAAAAAATTATAATTTTTTTATATATAAATTAACATCAAATATAATAAATAATTCTCTTTAATTATAGTGAATATATAAAAGATGCTAGAAATTGTCATCTTTTTCAAATTATCTTTAATTTTTTTAACGTATTATCTTTAAAATTTGTAAAGATTACTTTTTAAAATTTAATTATTAATCTATATAAGACATTCATTTTGTGTTTTAAAAAAATTAAGTAAAAACTTAGGTACTTTTTTTTAATCTAAGTTTACATTAAATATAGTAAATATTTCCTCTTAATTATAGTAAATATATAATGTTACTATTTTTTTAAATCATCTTTAAACAAATTTAAAGGATCAATTGCTTAAAGTTTAATTAATAATTAAGATTGTTATTAAAAGAAAATAATATTATTTTTAACTACATAAAATAATAATATTTAAGATTAGACCAATTGAATAATAATTATATTATTATTTATTTTAAAGTCTATCTTCGGTTTCTATGTCTTTGGGGATGTGTCTTCAAGCTTACATAAAGTCTAGAGTGTCACATGCAAGAATTTTGATGTTGAAATTTGTAAGGAAAATAGTTAAGAGACAGAAGAAGAACTAAAGTCATACTGAGTTGTTATTAGATGACATTTATAGGTCTTTGATGAATTTTAATAATGAGATGATAGCAACATGTTATCCAAAAGGAAATTATTCTTAAGTGGAAAGATAAAATAGGGTTAAAATTCCTTTGCAATCTTATGAAAGTTCTTTGTCTTCAATTTGGTTAACTTTGCTTTAAGATTATTTAACCGAACTAAATTTGGGTTGACTCTAGAATATTTTAAACTTAAATCATTCATTATATATTAAAAAAAATATCATAATATTTTTGCTATAAAAAAACATAGTATATTGACTATTTGGGAATTTGCCCGTATTAAATGGAAGTAGTGGCATTAGTAAGCGGTGAGTCCAAGTCCAAAGCGGAGAAAAAACAAAAAAACGGTAAAAAGAAAAAGGATGGTAACTATTAGACATGGCTCCGAAGCTTTTGGCGCCAACTCAATCTCTTCGTTTCTCTGCGCTCAAAGCACGCTAATTCATTCTCTGCAAACCCAACCAAAATTCACTTCCCCTTTCTCCTTCCTCTAAGCCAAACATGCTCACACATTTGGTATTCCACGCCGGATAGAGGCTTCTACCGTGAAATTGCCTTGCAAATGTACATCTCCCTTTCCAATTCTCAATTTCCTGTTTTAGTTTTAGAGTTTAGGCGTTTCCTCATTTTCAACGTATTTGCAAATTCCTATGGCGCTAATCATTGCTCTTGCGCACAATGCGCGCATGCTAGCTAAGGCAATTATATAACTCCACGAAATTGATAGGTTTTCTTTGTTTCTCTGCTTATTTGCTCTGGTTCATCAGAGAATAGTTGAATCTTGAATGCTTGAATTCATAACTATAAAGCGACTCCAGGTTGATGCGTGTAACTTGTTGATCATTGCGGTGTTGAAGGTGGAAACTAGTTAGAGAATATTTTTTAATTCGAATTTGGCTCATGATTAAATGCTGTTAATAATGGTCTAAGTTTTGATAAAGCGTGAAGTTATCATAGATTTATAATTTGAATTTTGACTTCTCTAAATTGCTGGATAAAATGGAGTCGATAATGGTTATTTTATCCGAATCTTGCTCTGGTTCGTCATAGAGCAGTAGAATGCCTGAATGCATGACATTGACACAAGTAATAAAGAGAATGTTTGGAACATCATAAAATCACATCAACATAGAAAATCAAGTCAAATAGGTTCAATTGATGGAGAAGTTACCCCTTTTGTTTCTCTTGGATGTGAAGAGAATATGCATTTGGTCCCCAAAACACTAATTTGCCGATCATTGGAGTGTGAAAATTGGAAAACTAAACAATTTTTAATTGAGATTTGGCTTTTGTAAAGTGCTGGATAAAATGTAGCTAATAACCGTTTATGTGGGCATGAATCATGATTGTGATAACATGCATGCACATGTATAATATATTATGAAGTTAATGATTTATAATTCAACTCGATGTGGTTTGCTAGTTGGAAAATGGAAAGCAAATTTGGGGTGTTTGTATATGATGCAGATTAAGCGCTTCTAAGGAAGAAGAGAATGGCGAGTATTGCGGATATTTCCGTTTCGGCAGCCATCAATCTGTTGTCTGCTTTGGCATTCCTGTTGGCATTTGCAATATTGCGACTTCAGCCCTTTAACGATCGGGTCTACTTCCCAAAATGGTATTTGAAAGGGATAAGAGGCAGCCCAACAGGTTCCACAATGGTGAAAAAATTTGTGAACTTGGACCTCGGGACCTACATCAGGTTTCTAAATTGGATGCCTGCAGCATTGCATATGCCCGAACCTGAGCTTATTGATCATGCCGGGCTTGACTCAGCCGTGTTTGTTCGGATTTATATGCTTGGGTGAGTTGTACGCCAAGTTTCTCATTGAAACTTTACATGTACACACGGACATAGTTTGAAAGAGAGCAATATGTGATCTACTGTTTTGTATTTAAATGACCTTTTTCCTTTTTGATATATATTTTTTCTTTGTACAGGGTCAAAATATTTGCCCCGATTACCGTACTTGCTTTTGTGGTTTTGGTTCCTGTTAACTGGACCGGGAGAACATTGGAAGCACCGGGAGCTAAGGATTTGCAATTTAGCGATATTGACAAGATTTCAATATCAAACATTCCATTTGGATCAGATAGGTGAGATGATCCTTATGACGGTGTTGTCCTAGCTCTTAGTTTCTCTCTCTTGGTCTAACACACTCTGGATTCTTAACAATTGAAGGAGTTATTAGGAATCTGATTGCAACTTTGATATTTGCCTTTTAAGAAAACCAGAGTACCACTATGATTTTCATATTAATTGAATTAACTATTTGTTCTTCATTATAATATGTTTTCGGACTCTTATTTTGTATCATGAATCGCTCGTTATGTTATCTGCCTGCTTTGCACTTGATGTTACGAAATTTAATGTCATTTTCTTCCAGGTTTTGGGCGCATATTGTAATGTCATATGTCTTCTCGTCTTGGACATGCTATAGTCTTTATACGGAATACAAGAATATAGCAACAATGAGATTGCGATTTTTGGCAGCTGAACGTCGTCGTCCGGACCAATTTACTGTAAGTTGGTCTCATTTTCTCTGAGCTTCCTTTCTTCATTTTTCGTGCTCTATAACTATGTCAGGGTGTGTGCGAATGCCTGCACATAGCAGCAGCCATGTCATGGTAGGCATGGGGATACGTAACTAGTTGGGATTTCTAGTCTGCCTATTTTTGTGTCATGCATTCAACAATTAAATGCGATACACAGTCTTTCGACTGGTATTTGTTTGATAGGACATTGATAATGAGAAAGTTAGTATCCGTATTTTAGTATTTTTAGCAGACTTGCTAGCAAAACTATCCTTTTCAGATGCTTGTCTAGTTGTCTTCTATGTGGTAAACTAGTAAACGCTTATTCTTGGATCACTTTGCAAGAGAGTCTTAAGTTGCGGCTTTCAGTTATCTTTTGTATATCTGCATTTTTTTTTTCCAGTTATCGGAAGAACTGAGCTAATAGTTGCAGCCAATTTCCAGCTGTCCTGAACAAGCTGAATATCGTTTTGTAATAACAATAATCACTTTGATATCTTCACAGGTCCTTGTGAGGAACGTTCCACCAGATCCCGATGAATCAGTCAGTGAGCACATCGAACATTTTTTTTGCGTCAACCATCCTGATCACTATCTGATGCATCAGGTATGTTGCTTAATTGCAATTGTAAATAATCGGTAAAATCTTTATACTGCTTTTAGTTTTTTTTATATTTTTTTATATTTTTTTTTATTTTTTTTATAGTGTGTTGGGGAATTACCACTTCCCCTTCTTCATGTCACATAAACACCCTCGTAAAGGGCGACGAAATAGAAGAATGAATCGAGGAAAAATACTTTATTATAGTCAATATGGTACTTATAATATGTTGTCCCTCGTTCTCATAATCCTGCCAATTCCTCAATACTAGTCATTTATAATTCACAACGTTCTCATATTGGTACCTATTCCTCAACACCAGTATTTATAATTCACAATAATTTGTTTGATAATATTACTAGAATTTAAGCTTAAGATCTATCCAATCCCACAAAACCAGCTCTAAGATGAAAACTATATTATCTTTGTGTTTTAGGCCATATCTCTAACTAATACGGAACTAACTACCATCTTTAAAACTGCAATTATGATAGCCCCATAGAAGCTCCAACTAAGGGGGCTAGAGGAGACTGCGATTAAGGCGGATTTCTACTTAAGCAATAGATCCTACATTTTTATCTCATTTATCTTAATATATAAGCACAACTTAAAAGCGGGAAACCTTCAACTATCATTCAGATAAGAATTTGGATCAAATCCAACATTTTTACATTGGCCTTCGTCTTAGAGATTAGGTTATGTAATTTACTGGGGTTTACTTCAACTGATTGAGGACCTTCTACTATGAATCTTGAATTTGCTTTACTTTTGCGATTACACGTGTAACAAAAGAGTAATTTATTATGAATTATTGATAGGTTGTTTATAATGCGAACAAGCTTGCAACAATAGTTGCAGAGAAGAAGTCTCTAATAAATTGGTATACTTACTACCAGAACAAATTCGAAAGAGATCCTTCCCAGAGGCCAATTACTCGGGTAGCTCTCTTTTCACGATTAACTATCAAATTACTTTTTTTCTAATTTCGACAGAAGATACCTCCTTTTAGCATTTCGTTTTTCACGAGAATAGCCATAAGGGGATCAACTAATAACCTTTTATGTTTCACGATTTGGTTTCTTATCTATAGACAGGTTTCATGGGTTGCGTGGGGGCTAAAGTTGACGCTATTGATCATTATACTGCATTAATTGATGATTTGAGCAAACAAGTAAGTACTGATTAAATTATGCAATGGGCGTGTCAATGTCACCCATATCATTTTTTATAGTAATGTTTTTTTTTACAGATTTTGTTATCAAGCCATCTTGTTAACTCTTATCACTTTTATATTATTTTGAAGTAGTCAAATTATGGTAAATGGATATCATTGTTATATTCAGAGAGGATAATGAGCTATGCTTTTGAGAGTTCAATCAGGGGAGTTCAAAACATTATTTTAGACTTTTCACTTCATTCTTTGCTCTTGTTTCACAAGCTAATTATGTTGTTCTCCCTATTGATTATTATCCTTAGGTTTCTATCACTAATTAGGTTGCCCAACATGAACAAGTTGTAAATGGCTTGTATGGTTTCAGTTTTTCTTGCAGTTACTCACAAAACTGAACATATGGCTAATCTATTAGTTTATTATAATGTCAGGAAGGATGGCTACTTGAACTTGTAGTTTCCATGATATAAATTTAATTGCAAAGATCCATCTTAAAATGTGTTGGTATGGTATGGAGATTAATTTGTTGGTGTTCATTTCAAACAGGAAGCGGAAGAAAGAGAAAATGTTATAAAGAACCCGAATGCTGTTATTCCTGCAGCTTTTGTTTCATTCAAGACACGATGGGGGGCGGCTGTGTGTGCTCAAACTCAGCAAACTAGTAATCCTACTGTTTGGCTCACAGAATGGGCTCCTGAGCCTCGGGATGTTTTTTGGGAAAATCTTGCCATTCCATATTTTGACCTCTCTATGCGAAGATTGCTCATGACCGTTTCTTTATTTTTCCTAACCTTTTGCTTTATGATTCCAATAGCATTTGTCCAATCTCTCGCCAACATTGAGGCAATTGAGAAGGTCTTTCCTTTCTTGAAGTCAATAATTGAAAAGTAAGTGCTCTCAATCTCATAACCAGTTAATTAGTATAAGCTAAATTGCTAATTTTCTCCTTTCCAGTAGTTTTTTTTATATAATTAATACAATGAGGTTTAAACTTAGCATCCATACAAACTACTCAAATGCCTTACTAGTTACTAGTAGTCAAACCCTAGTGGCTTTCCTCGATTTTCCACTTATTCTCTATATGAAGAAAACGCTTCCTCTCCCTTTCAAATCTAACGTGAAAAAAGTCCTCAAATCAATCTTTAATCCATCGACAGGTAGAAATGTGCCTGAAGTCTGATCTACCAGTGAAATTAAATGTTGGAAACAACCCTAGTAGAACTTAAGTTCTAGTACAATTCTCGTGTAAACAACCCAATGTTTTAATATAAGAGAGAGTTGTGGCCTTCCTTAAAAGATCCAAATTTTAGATTCATTCGGAATAACAGCTTGTAGTGACTCTGGTAAATTTGTAAACAGTTATAATAATTATCTCAAGTTATGTATATCTATCCTTCTATGCTAATAACAAAGGGAATTACTCATTTGGTGTTTTACTTTTACCTTTCCTATTTTACCTTTAATAACAACATTAGTAATAAAGAGGATTACTCCATCTGATGTCCGCTTTTGTATATCCTATTTTATCTTTAATAATAATATATAATCTCTAATAATTGTCTAGGGATTTGATATTCTCTTATTTTTTAACAAGGGCAAAAAGTGTATTTTTTTTTCACTAATATCTATAATCATTTCTAATTGGTTGATGTCGTAGTGCATACAAATTATTATATTTTTTCTTATATACTTGAAGCTAAATATAATTACTAATTTATTTTTTCCTGTCTCTACTGTGGAGTGTCTAGTGTTTACTGTCTTCAAAAGCGTCATTCCTCTCAGTAATGGGTTTGGTTTCATGCACTGAGTCACTTGTTGCAGGGGATCTATCAAGTCTCTCATTCAAGGCTTTCTACCAGGGTTAGCATTAAAGATATTTCTTGCAATACTTCCAAAAATTATCATGGCGATGTCCAAAGTGGAAGGTTTTACTTCGCTTACAGCTTTGGAACGGAGGTCAGCGTCCAAATATTACTTATTTGTTCTCGTCAATGTGTTCCTTGGGAGTGTTATAACAGGAACAGCATTTCAGCAACTTCAGCAGTTTCTTAATCAACCCTCTACAGAGTAGGCTTTGAACTTTGTTGAGCTTACATAGCTTTCATTTGGGCACCCACATTTACATGGAATATTAATTAATTTGCAGGTTCACAAAAACTGTTGGCAGTACAATCCCAATGAAAGCCACATTCTTCATTACCTACATAATGGTTGATGGTTGGGCAGGAATAGCTGCAGAGGTCCTCAGGTTATCTCCGTTAATTCAGTTCCACCTGAAAAACGCGTTCTTGGTGAAGACGGAGCAAGACAAAGAGAATGCTATGGATCCTGGTAGCTTGGAGTTTGCTACATCTGAACCTCGCATCCAGTTATATTTCATGCTCGGGCATGTTTATGCTCCAGTAACACCTTTTCTTCTCCCCTTCATTGTAGTCTTCTTTGCCTTTTCCTACTTGATCTTTCGCCACCAGGTGAGCTCTAGATTGAGTTTGCAACAATATTTGATTTATTACTTTTATCTATGCAAGAGGAGTGTTGCTACATTCTATAACATTCTTTTTATTATTGGTTAAATTTTATTGAAAATTTTAAAATCATAACTGATATTTATTAAACAAGAACTAAGTTCATAAGGTTTTTGTAATTTTTAATATCTTTTGGGCAATAATATAAATAAAAATCAAAAGAATAGATCAAAAGATTTTAAAAAGTATATCACTAGCTTCTCTGTTCTTTATGCATATCTAAACAAGCTAAAGAAATAATAATATCACGAATATTCTTATAATGCTTAATCGAGGTTTCTTTTTTTTGTCCCAAGATTATCAATGTGTATAACCAGCAATACGAGAGTGGAGCATCCTTTTGGCCAGATGTCCACGGTCGAGTAGTTTTGGGCTTGATTATATCTCAGATTCTTCTGATGGGATTGTTAAGTACAAGAGGTACAGAAAAGTCGACGCTAGTGCTTGTTGCACAGCCCCTCTTGACATTTTGGTTCCACAGATATTGCAAAGGTCGCTTCGAATCTGCATTTGTAAAATTTCCTCTAGAGGTTAGTTGAGAAACTATAATTATAATTATACATACATGACAAAATATCATCAACTACGTTAATCTGAGGGTAATCATATATGCAAAGAAACAAGTTGTGCTTTGCGCGCGGTTCGGGAGATATCTGTTGCTAGAGTAACTAAACGATTAATTTGTAAATAGATGAAGTTATGGGAGGCAGATATTCATATTAGAGCTTATCTTTTATTCACCAAAGGTTGTACACAGTCATGTAATAAGAGAAATCATGATATATATTACTAATGCATAGACCATTTATCATAGATAATGATTTCTAATTAGCTGTACTGTAAAAAACTTATATAATGAATATACTGTTTATCCTAAATATAATGTTGGTCTTATATTAGCTGATATATATGAGATTTGGTGACAGGATGCGATGGTGAAGGATACCCTTGAACGGGCAGTTGAACCAAACTTAAACCTAAGAGTTTATCTTCAAGATGCTTACGTACACCCAGTTTTTATTGGCAATGAGTTTGAAAAACCATCAATCATTGATGATGAAGAGGACAATCCACTTATTCAGACAACGAGAGCTTCTCATCGTAAGGGTAGCAAGCCAGAATCTGATAGTGAAACCGGCAGTTGCTAAGGTACAGTTGCCATTTGAGGTTCCAAGTATAGAGCATGGAGTGATTACTCACGTGAGGGAATGAGAATCAGCCATTTTTAAACTGTGAGATGAAGAAAGCAGCATTCCAGAAAACCAATTGTAACGTTCTTACCTTTCACAAAGGCTTAAGCAACATTTTGTTGCTCTCAATTGCCTTCCAAAAATCTTATTTGTTGTATATATGTATCAATATGTATATACAATCAGTGAAAAATAGATATACATTTGACTAGTCAATAAAAAAGAAAATAACTTTTGTATGTATTTTTTTTTTAGAAAAAGAAGATTTGAGAATTATACACACTTCGGAAAGAAATTTATCTTTATAGAAGATTTTTAGACTACTGTTTTTTGGGTCAATTTTTACACCAGTTTTTATACCAATTTATTGCACAAGTGATTAGTGATGGGTTATGCTTATAATCTTGTGCACAACCCACAGACGACAAAACTTAGATATATAGAATGAATTAAACATTGAAAACTTATTAAGAGATGTTTGTTTCTGGAAATAGTTTCAACCAAAGAATAATTTTTGATAGGGAACCCAACGGTGAGGAATGAGAGTTGAGAGTAGACAACAAAAACGTGTCCTTTCTTTCATCAAAAGGACAAACAGGAACAGCAGGTGGTCGCATGAATGATGATTAGGTGAAGCACAAGTCGCACAACTCAACATCTCTTATCTCATTCCTTTTCATCTTCTCCAATTATTGGTTGGGTTAGGCTAGGTGGAGAAGTCCAGATTAAATCATACACCCGGGGTGAAGAATAGTGGACCTGTAGTAACAGGTTTTGGAAGTTATTCATTTTGCACAGAAATGCCCAAAATGTCTTTGATTATAAGGGTTTGAAAGTTTGATATTAGCAATAGCAAATATAGTCCCCTGTTATATATATTATTTTTGATGCATCTCTGTTATATATAATTGGGTATAAAGCATCCAAACCAAAAGCAATCCATTTTGATACTCACGAAACAAGTTTCGATGGTCCAATCACTTTTGCAATGGAAGCGGAAACCAAAATTACTAGTAAAGTAGCATCATGGGCGGATTTGAAACTATTATAATTTTTTTAACAAGAAATTTAAATGAGAGTAAGTCACGAATTCATGGAAAATAAAACTAACCACTAACTACTACTTCTTCTTTTTTATTTATTTATTTTTTTTAAAAGATTATCGGTGGGATTACCCCATCGCAATATAGTAAAATAAAATATAAAAAATATTTTTAATTTTTATCTTTCGGAATTGCAATGACACAGAATCAGAATTCAAATTTAAGACTTTATATATTTTACTCAAATTTTCACCATTAGGCCAATCTTAATAATAAAAAAGTTATGTTTATTTTGACTATTATTTCCACTAAAAAGAATATAGAAGAAAACAAATAATAATAATAATAAGCTTAATTAGGAAAATTATCCGCTTAATAAAATATGCCAATCAATGTAGTTGACAATTGATTTTAAGTATCTACCTTCATCCATATCATTTCAAATCAAGCATTTGCTTTTATTCGACTAACTGTTCTTCTATGGACTTTTGTTCATAAATAAGATTAAGATATTTATTCATTTATTGTTGCCACGCTAATGAAAGCATTAACACCGAGAATAATCCAAAGAAAGAAAGAAGATTTGTTAATATATTAGTGTATCTCCAATGCCTCAGATTTATCTACTTTCTCGCTTCCTGCTTAATGTAATCAACGCATGCATCCACGAGGGATAGTTCCATATATCAAATCTGTTGAACATGAATAGCCAAGCAACTGCGAATTCATATTTGGAAGAAGACAATGGTTTACTGTGTTCAAAAATTACCACCACCAAAACAAAATTGTTGAGTAGGAAAGTGAATAAGATAATACGTGAGAAATACTAGCACTGCCAGAATTTGCTCAAAATCACAAGATTAAGTTACACTCTTTATTTAATAATTTTTATTCATAATTTATATTATATTTTTTAATAAAAATTTTACCAGTAAAAAAGAGTAATACTTCGTTAGCAACTCTTCACTGAGTCAAGCACAATGGTTGAATTGAACCGTTTGATTGAGATTTGGTTAAGGAAAAGTTAACAAACCCGATAGTCACGTAGGGACCAAACTGCAAATTTTAATCCAGTAATTGCAGATCCATTCGAACCGGACCAACCAGTTGCCGTCAAACATCTATACCGTTAATTATAACATGCATGTATCTGACGGTAACAAGGGAAGCATCACCTGTGTGCCTTAACCGTAAGTCCGTAACCGTTTTGGCTCATTACTTCAGTTCGCTCTTCAGATCGACAACGTAAGTTTCCATCACTCCAACTCCAATGCTCTAATTAGCAACCGCTGTTGTTGCAAACACAACACAAACACAAACACGAACACGAACACGAACAATTCTCCTTCCTCGCTTCCTCGGATTCAACTTCGTATTCTCGATGGCAAGTACCTTGCCATGTTTCTCATTCTCAGTGATTCCTAGGAATCCGCAAAAACCCAAATGCTCTTGTTTTCACAAACCCTTTGGCCAAAGGAAGCATCACCAACTTGAATCGCAAAACCTCGTTAACTCCTTTTCGCACAATTCCACTTCAAAATTGTGTGCCATGTCACGGTTGTCCATTGAGGAAACTCAGCAGCAAATTGGCACCTTGACCCGACCCGAAGACCTAAAAGGGGCAGTGGCGTACTTGTTTAGGACAGAAACTGGTGGTGGTTTGGTGAAGGTTTATGTCACAAAGAAAAAAGATAGGTATTCCGTTTACATTGAGATTTCTTCGTTGGATATGAGTGGTTGCGGTGAGGGTGAAACGCTGGTGTTGTGTTGGGGTGTGTATAGAGCTGATTCATCGTGTTTTGTGGATCTGGATTCCACAGGTTTGAGTGTAAATGCGGCAAAAGGGATGAATGTTAGTCCCTTGGTGCAAAATTCTGGTGGCAATTTTGAAGTTGAATTGGAATTTGATGCTAAACATGTTCCCTTGTACTTGTCATTTTTCTTGATGTCATCTTTGCATGCAGGGCTGGAAATCAGAAGCCACAGGAGAACAAATTTTTGTGTGCCGGTTGGGTCTCTACCGGGGTACCCGGGTCCTTTGGGGCTCTCTTATAATGCTGATGGGACTGTGAATTTTGCCATTTTCTCAAGACATGCAGAGAGTGTGGTTTTGTGCTTGTATGATGACAATGGTGTGGAGAAACCTGCTTTGGAGCTTGATCTGGATCCTTATGTGAACAGGTCAGGTGACATCTGGCATGTCTCATTAGAGAGTGCCAAGAGTTTTGTGAGCTATGGTTATCGCTGCAGAGGGGGTGGTCTTAAGCAGAACAAGGATGATAGTGGTGCTGATCATGTTGTTTTGGATCCGTATGCTAAGATTGTGAATTCTTATCCTAATGGTCTTGGATCAGTGAAGAATCTTGGATGGTTGGGGAAGGAACCTGCTTTTGACTGGGGTGGTGATTTTCATCCAGGTTTGTCCTTGGAGCAACTACTGGTCTATAGGTTGAATGTGAAGCGCTTTACGCAACATGAGTCCAGCCAACTTCCAAGTGGTTTAGCTGGGACCTTTACTGGTTTGGCTAAGAAGGTGCAGCATTTTAAAGATCTTGGTGTGAATGCTGTTCTGCTGGAGCCGGTTTTCATGTTTGATGAGAAAAAAGGACCATATTTTCCTTGCCATTTTTTCTCTCTGATGCTTAGTTATGGACCATCTGGTGGTCCTTTATCTACGTTTGCCTCTATGAAAGAGATGGTTAAAACTATGCATGCCAAAGGGATAGAAGTTCTTTTGGAAGTTGTTTTCTCCAATACTGCTGAAGTTGGCGCTCTACGGGGACTTGATGACTTGTCCTACTATTATGCAAGTGGAGTTGATGATTTGAAGATACAGAGTGCTTTGAACTGTAACTATCCTATAGTGCAAAATTTGATTCTAGATAGTCTTCGGCATTGGGTGACTGAGTTTCACATTGATGGCTTCTCTTTCATAAATGCTTCACACTTGCTGAGGGGATTTCATGGGGAGTACTTGTCTCGACCTCCATTAGTTGAAGCAATTGCTTTTGACCCAGTACTCTCCAAGACTAAAATCATTGCCGATTGCTGGGATCCCCATGACATGGTAACAAAGGAAACTCGCTTTCCTCATTGGATGAGATGGGCTGAACTAAATGCAAATTTTTCTAATGACGTGAGGAACTTTATAAGGGGTGAAAATATTCTTAGTGACCTTGCAACAAGACTGTGTGGGAGCTGGGACATGTTTTCTGGTGGACGAGGCCCAGCATTCTCTTTTAATTATATTTCAAGGAACTTTGGATTTTCTCTTCTGGACTTGGTTAGCTTCAGCAGTGCAGCAGAATTAAGTTGGAATTGTGGAGAAGAAGGACCTACTAATAACACCGCTGTCCTCGAAAGACGACTCAAACAAATTCGAAATTTCCTCTTCATCTTGTTTGTGTCATTAGGGGTACCTGTTCTGACTATGGGAGATGAATGTGGCCAGTCTTCTGGTGGTTCCTCTGCACATGATGACATGAAACCTTTCAACTGGAGTGCTTTGAAAGCAGGTTTTGGTAAACAAACCACTCAATTCATATTCTTTTTAAGTTCATTGAGAAGGAGGAGGAGTGATCTTCTTCAGAGTAGGAGCTTCTTTAAAGAAGAAAACATTGAATGGCATGGAAGTGATGGGGCTCCACCAAGATGGGAAGACCCTTCCTGCAGGTTCCTAGCCATGACTTTGAAGCCTGAAGTAACAGAGTTGATAGAGAGCTCTGTATCTTCTGATATATCTGGGGATCTATTTATTGCTTTCAATGCAGCTGATCATCCAGAAACTGCAGTTTTACCCTTACCTCCAAAAGGGATGTCATGGTACCGTTTAGTTGATACAGCTCTGCCATTTCCTGGGTTTTTCTCAACCAACGGTGAAGTTGTCCCTGAGCAGACAGCAGATTTGTTTACTTATCAAATGAAGTCTTTCAGCTGCACTTTGTTTGAGGCAAATAATCGTACCATTTAAGAAGAAATCCCAAGTGCGCAACCTCCCTCAAGTTTTGTAAATTTTGTTATTGCAAATAATTGGCCTCATACGTTTGTAGATGGATTACTATGATATAATAAAGTGGTGAGAATGCATACCAGGCAATGTCTGCAGGAATACTGTGTATTACTCAATAGTTTCATTGTAGTGGTTTCTTATGCTCAGTGATGAAGGATCCTGTTATTCTAGTCTGCCTGATATCTTCCCCCAACACACCAAGGAAATGATTTTTCTAAAGCAGGGTTGTCTTCAATTTTGAATAAATAAAGAGCACTTGATTTCAAATGATTAGTATTAAATCATAAGTAATTATGATAGTTAATTTTGGATTTGTTTAAAAATAGAAGTGTTTTTAAATAAATGCTTTTTTTAAAAAGTATCTTTTTAAGAAATAGATAAGAGATGTTTCTTTTAAAAAAAGAAAAATAATATATCTTCCAAAACTCACATTCTGAAACATATTCCAACCACGTGTGTTGGTTGAAAACTTATATATTAATAAATATTTTACTTATATAAATTAACACATGTCATCTTTTGATGATTTTGGAAGAATTCTCGGCTATTTCTTTCTGAAGAAGTAACATCTCTCTTTAAAAAAAAACTGATAAATGCTCATTTAAAAAATTTAGACAAACACAAAAAAGTTAAAAAATGCTTATTTTATTAAAAAATAATTATTTTATTAAAAAATGATTATATAAGAAAAAGCTTAAACAAACACGTCTTTTATTTATTGGGTTTGTAAAAACAATAATATACTAATTTTACACTTATCATTAAATTTTCATGAGATGAAAATATTTAATTTATATCAAAGCTTATTTATCAATATTAATAAAATTAATAAATGACAATTGAAAAAATTAAAAGTTGAGAGAAAACATTTATTAATCAATTTCTTTTCACATTATCCAACAAGAAACATAATCTTGCAATTTTTAACAAGATCAAAGATGAAAAATAAAATTAATAATTTATAAAAACTATAAAATGTTATAAAAAAAAAAACCACAACTTTCTTCTAAATTGTATCTTGTTATAAAGATCGAAAAGAGTATTAATTTCATAATAAATATATCCTTGTGACTATAAACTCTGAAGACAGTCACTTCGGAGTTTTTGCTCCTGTACATTTAATTCAATGTTTGTTTTATTAAATTTTACAAGGTAAAAAATACTGTAGATTGATCCAGCATACCCCTGGACCATTCTGTACTCCACCCTGTTCTGAAGGAATCTCTTGTATCAATGCATGCATTCACCTCCCGTGCAAAGTCCATCGTAAACAGATTATCGTCGGGTTCAGGGGATGCTCGCAATAGTCTTTTGATGCTTACACCATACAAAATTGAAGACTAACAATTAGTGAATTACAACAATGAAGTTGCATGCAGTTGGTGCTTACGATAATCACATAAATGTTTTCTTACATATATCATCCACAAAAAATAAAATACATTCTAATAAAAATATCGTTAGGGACAGCTTGAGGAAAAACCGGCACATGACACACCTAATACGAAATGTGCAAAATAAAAGTATTCCATCATGATAAATTGAAAATGTTTTCTTGTGTTTTTAACTATAATCGATTAATGTAGACAAATTCATTGCAAAGATGGTGTTTGCATTCTTCTATTTGATGCATATGATGATAACCACCCTGATCAATCTTTCTAGTCTATTTGGTTTAAGTAACTTTTAACTTCTACTGATTGAAGAAAGCCCAATAGTTTAACGAATCTAATAAATTTATCACCACTTTAACGAATTAAAGAATTTATTAATAGGTGTATTTTTTGCCAGATGGTCAGTTCAGATAGATTTAATATATATATTGAAATCCAATTATCATTTCAGCTGCTGCACCCATGACACCGATACCTCCGATTTCCAAAAGGCGAAGAGCCAACTCATGTTCATCTATCTGTCTTAATCCCCAGCTCAGTCTCTTCAACAAGTTCACATCGACTTCCTGGACCCAAGATGGAGCGCGACTTACCATCAAACTAACTAACCCTGATATATAGGCTTTCGAAGCAACACAATGACATTGACAACGCAGTGATATATTCCTGTTAAGGGATCTTGCCAGAAATTCCAAATGCAACCCAACAACCTTCGCCCTTCGTTTTGGTGAAAGCGAATTGTCAATACCCCAGGCAAATGCTGCGCTAAGAAAAACAAAAAATGCCAGTGCATAACCTTTGAGCATGGCAACCATAACTCGAGATTCTCCACCATCCTGCTCCAACATGGTAGCTGATAAAAACCAGGAAGGCAGAATCTCGCTTATCAAGTATTGAACCAGCTTTGGTCCACCTGATATCCAAACCAGTGAGGCCCCGAGTAGAGCGGCATGCTGGACACGTGCCATGGATCTGGCAAGAGAAACTTGCCCATGATTTATCCCAAACTTGGTTTTCTTTGGTTTCTTTACACCCCCCTTGGCCAAATCACTAGTTGCTATATCTGTAACTGAAAGCATTAGAATAGGCACAATTTCTTCAATCAATAACGTGATATCTCCAATAGAGCGGTACACTCTTAGGTAAAGAACCCCTGGAGCAACTGGAGAGATCCCATCGGATATTTGGGAAAATAAGCCATGACCAAGGAGGGCACTGACACCGCCATTATTATAAATGCAGCCAGAGCCAAGGCCAAGGGTGGAGGTGAAGCAACTTTTTAGTAGTTGAACTACAGCATCCCTGTTCTGGTGGAAAACATTTCTGGAGGCAGAAAGTACAAAGTAGTTACTCCAACGCTTCACCTTTTGGATCCACAAAGACGTCACAATGGGCAAGGAGGGCCAGGGGCAACCCGAAGCAAGGGCACTCATAGCAGGGGCAATCAGTGCAAGGAATCGTTCAGCGGCCTTGTCAAGCTTATATGTTATTGTGAGGCTAACAAAAGCTGCCAAAGGCAAAGGAAGTGTAGCTGGAGAGTTCCCATCTGCAGGGAATAAAAAGTACTGTCAACAATAACATAATGAACCTTTTGTTTCCACATACCATAAAATTACTCCAACAACAATGAAAGTAGAAATTTTCAACTGAAAACATTTATTACTTGTGTTTTTCTTTAGTAATTAGAGTTATTTAAAAAGTTTTAGATATTACTCGTATTCCAAGGTATTTATTAGTCAGAGAAATGTTTCTCTTACAACAAATTGTATAACAATTTATATAACTACAAGATTTTTTTTAAGATGTAATAAATAATATGATAAAATAAATAAATAAATATAACATGTCCTTACTAACTCTCATGAAAGATTATGAATCTTTTTATCAATGTCATTTAAGGGTTTCCTGTTGCAAATAAGTAATATTTCCATTTTTTTTTGTATTTGCAATATAGTATAAATGTTTTATTTTTCATTACTGTATTTTACTTTTGTTCCTTAAGAGCACCTTCAACGAATGTCTTTATTTTACCATTTCTTTTTAAGCACCGATACTTAATATAATCCTCCTCAAACAGCAAGTTGTTAAAAAATATGGGTATTATTTGCATGGATTTTTATGAAATAAAGATAAAATATAAAGATATGAAATTATTTGAGACTAATTTAGTAAAAATTTATATGTTATTAGATTAGAGAAGTGAGTTACATTATAAAAAATACATTAACGACATGTAATTATGGAACCCATTTAATGGAGTGCAGGAACCTGGGATAGATATACCCAAGACATTTGTTTGAATTATCCTTGATGTTTAAACAAAACCAAGAGAATAAAACAATTAGTGTAGAGATTAAGACCAATTTACCTACAGCAAGGCTTGGGACATCGACACCAGTGGCTGCCAACATTTTCTTTATCTGTTCCTCAACAAGGGATAAATTTGCAGCAGGGCTGGGCCAGTCAGTTCCATTCATAAAAGCTGGCTTCCATATGCCCCGCGTAACTTCAGCTGAAAAGTAGCTTGCAATGGTAACCAAAGAAGCTGGAAGAAAATCAGCTAGATCTTTGAGGCCTGAGAAAAAAAGCACTTGAAAATCAAGTTACAAAACAAATATCCTAGACCTAAACAAAGTTTGAAAAAGAGATTATCGCATCCTCAGCCATGGTTAATGCAAACAAGTTTTTATGTATTTTTTTTTCTGTAATCTATAACTATGAGATATTTTAAGAATTTTTTCTTAAAGCTCCTTTTCTCAATCTTAATCTGCCTAAGCTTTTATATATATATATATATATATATGTTGTTTGGTTTTGCTTTCGTTTTCATTTTCAAACAATCTTATTAAACTTTATTTCTCATTTTTGTGTTGCATTCAACCATTTTAGTCATATCATGTTAAAAGAATTTAAATATATGAAAGATCACACATGATAAAATGAAAGCATCAATATAACAGACATGGAAATTTGCTTATTTTAATTTCAATTTATTATCAATTAAGGAATTTAGCATATATATTTTATGGTGATTTATATATCATTCCTTGCTCACGTTTTTTGAATTTTATGAGATGAATAAATATTATACTATAAGCTTTTTATGTAAAAAAAATAATCGATAATTACAGTTTTCTTTATGTATTGTAAGTAATGATATTCTATACTTTTATTTTCAGAATAATTTATATTTATTTATAGATAAATAATTTTCATAAAACGTATATTTTTACATTATACATTATATATTTTTTATTAATATTTTAATCGCATTATAATTTAAAATAATTTATATATTTTATTTAATTGCAGTTACAACGAGTGATATATTAGTATTACGATAATCTATAAATAGTTTTTTTAAATCTAGGTAAAGTTACCTATTTATTTATTCAATTAAAAAAAATCTACCTTAAATTTGTATTCAACAAACTTGGATATGTTGTATCAAAACAAAAAAAATACAAGCTTGGATACGTATTCTAATGAAAAATACTTTATCTTTATCTATAAAAAAATATATATATATTTTAGGTGACATTTGATACAAGAAATGTTAACATTTTTTTGAAAAAGTTGCAAGAATTAAAAATTCTCATATTTAATAGAAGAAAATATAAATATTTCCTAAGAATAAAAGATTTTAGGAAATACTAATTTATGAACAAGTGAGAAAATATAACATTTTTACTATCACAAGTGAGAATAATATTTCCGGGTGGCTACTGGCTTTGCATTCAAATTTTTTTCCTATTTTTTTAAATCATTATTGTTGAAAATATCTATCAACTTTATTATTAAGTATTTCTGTCAAGATGAAATCTGACACGACTATTTTTAGTAAAAAAAAATTCAATTATGTTTTTTCTATTGATAGGACTCAAACTTTGCTTAAAAGAGATTGAATCAAGCTTCACTCGACCTGTTGGTTTGTTTAAGTTATTTCTCACTCCAAATTTTGAGAAATTCTTGCATTATAAAGCATCATTCCATCGTTTTAATCCTGATTCTATATGATACGTAATAAGTTCACGTTAAAAATTAAGCAGGCAAAAATAGAGAACAAGGCAAACCTGTAGCCAGTTCACGGGTAGAGAGTCTCCCATGAGCACAAGATGTCAGAGCAGCATCCAGCACAAAGGGAATAGCTTCGAGGATATCCCAGGCAGGCACTTTTAATTTCATTAAAGCATCATCCAATGCAAGCCCAGATGAACTGCTGCTTCCTGAAGTCGTAGGTGTCAAAGGTTCGGCACCATTGCATACCTTCCTAAACATCATGCTTAGTAGAGAATCAACGAGCAGATGAACAGGCTCTCCAGGCACAAGACCAGGGCGGATTGAAGCAATACATTCTTTATGTTTCCGATACCAAAAGTTTAATTTTGGAAAGGAATCCATAAATACAGGTTCTACAGAAAGACTTAAAATTTTTGACCATCTTTTGAGCCTCTGTCGATTTTTTGCCATTCTTCCATATGATGCCAATTTACAGTTTCGAACTAATAAAAGGCAGTCAGGACTAAATAGTGATCCAAATGGTGAACTTGTTGCATCCCTCCTCACTTGTTCAGCAGGTAG